GTTTTAAAAATTTCACTCTCCATTTTTGCGATACCACTTCAAAAACTTATTAATATGCGTGGTTTTATAAATGGACTAAAAAGTAACTTTTTATTTTTAAATTTTAGCAAAAGTCATTATAAACATGCATATATATAATCTCCTATATTGGCAGTAAGGGCTAGTACCGTCCGAAAACATTACAGTACAGATATATCAATAATACCGTATAAAAGAAAAGGAACACATACGTTTATAAATAAACATATACACAAAAACGGCACTCACGTAGACCATACATACCAGGGATGTTGGGAATATTTGCATTTGCATTCGTTATGCGAATGACTCGCATCGTCTTACACATTCGCATTCGACATTCGCATTCGCATCAAATGATACGAATGTTTTGCGAATGCGAATGAGTACATGGGCAGAGTGTCCACACTAATGTTGTGGAAATGGCTCTAAGTCTGTCTAACCAGGGTGCGGGCAATAACTGGCTTTTAGCTTCAGCCGCTAAACGGTTAAGTAGTATATCAAGCAACATTGATGGGCCTTTAACAAGTACTGCTAAAAGTCGTATAGGCAACCTAGAAATAATTTGAGATTCCTCCAGCAAAAGCAAAGGCTCGGATGTAAAATTTGGAGACATTAAAAAATGTGAAATAAAAGCTCAATTGAAGACCCCTCTTAAAGAAAAACGGGCTCATCTCGGTGAAAATCCTCATGATTGGTGGAAAACTAAACAAATAAATAATACAAAAAAAAAATTTAATATACAACGCTTTTATAAATGGACTAAAAAGTAGAAAATAATAATTCTCAGTCCCATAGAATTTGTTTTGATAACTTTTGATTTTGAAATTTTAGCAAAAGTCATTATAAACAATTTATGAGACTGGAAATGGAAAGTGTGGGGCACATGCAATACAAAGCATTAGATTTAATTGACAATAGTCAAACTACATAACATAGACCTAAAATTTCTACAGAGAAAGTACAAATTTGAGATCGATTTTAAGCGGTTGTTATTCATATATCCACATACATACATATATTACCCTTCATATCAATTGGGGTTATTACAGGCGCCCCACGCAAAATCAAAAGTTATCAAAACAAATGCTATGGGACTGAGAATTATTATTTTCTACTGTTTAGGCCATTTATAAAAGCGTTGTATATTAAAAAGTTTTTTTTTATATTATTTATTTTCATTTCTTTTCACTTCGCTTTTCTCTGCTGCACTCACCAAGCTACGACTTAAATACGTTCGGTACCAAGAACTCAACTCAGCGGTGAGCGGCTCTTTACGTATTATTATATCCACTTGTGCATTCCCGCATACATACATACATATATACGCACTGTTATTAAAACAAACTCTCTGTTGTTTTCGTACTTCTTCACTCACCACTGCGGTGACAAAGCGTAGCTTAGCCAAATCTTCGGCTTCATATGTGAATATTTGCACATACATACATACACTATTATCAAAACAAACTCTGTTGTTTTCGTTTTTTAAAAGCTCAGTTAGTCTAGACTTAACTTAATTTAACTTACCGTAAGAAATCATCAATGATTATTCAAGAGCGGAAATATTTTGTTTTTGTATTTCTTTTTTCAGATGTTTAACAGTTCGCTGGCGCAGTTTCTCTGGGTTTTAACTCACCACTGCTGTGACAAAGCTTAAGGCGCAATCAGTCAACGACGTAGCGTAAACGTAGGTTGACGCAGACACGATATACCTTATGTTAACGAAAACTCACCAACGCATGGCGGTGACGTTGCCGTTGCTTCTCTCTCTCTCTATCAACAATAAATTTGATATGCTGCTACATATGTCAACGTACGTTTACGCTACGTCGTTGACTGTTTGCGCTTTTAGCTTAGCCATATACTCGGCTTCCAAGAATGATAGAATACAAGATTGCGCCGATCAGAGAGGATTTTTGAGAATAACTTTTGTGTGACGTCACACTGGTGCAATTGCGAGAGAGAAATGCCAAAACGTGAGCAAGAATGGAAGAAGAAGAAAAAATGTTGCAAGGAAAACGTAAACAAGTTGCACAAGTGTGACGTCATGCAAACAACGATTCTGTCAAATTCGTTAAGAGAGGAATAGCGGTCCGAGATCGGCGCAACCTTTGTTTTCTCTCAATCGTGCTCGGCTTCATACGTAAATATTTGTACATACATATGTACGTACATTTTTACATTGCACATATTCTGCGCATTTGTACATACGTGCTAACAAAGAATATAACGCGATAAGTGACTTCAAGATATTTAAATACATGCAAACCAGTAGGGAAAACTTCCAAATTGCATTTCGTCGCCTGGGTAAAAGATTGTCGTAAGCGTCATTTTGACGATTTTTAGTTCTAGATGCAGTTATATATTCTGAAATAAGGTCTTTCGATTGGTGTTATCAGTTTTTAGATATCTCCTTTAGTTTCCGAGATATTGACTAACACTTTTTCGTAAAAATTTAGTTGGTGATGCAGTCATATTAAACTAATCAATATCTTAAAAGTGGCGTTCTCCATTTTACGACATTTCCTTTAGTTTCCGAGCTATTGAGTAAAAAGTGTTGTTAATTTGGTAGAAATTTTGATCACATTTTGTCGTATTTCATACAAACTGGCTGCCAAGTTGCGGAGAAATGACGCTTACGACAAAATTAGACTAAAGAAAATCGTTCGTAAACTCAAAATTAATTAACAATAAACATTAGAAATTAAATAATTTAAGAATTTTGTGAACTAGTAACTTTTTCAGAGACTTTGGAGAAAATCTATCCTCGCGTTTTTGAGAAATTGCATTCCAAACTTCAATCGCGATTTCCCACAAGCTGCTGAAATTAACATACGACACCATCTTTTACCCAGGCGACGATTTGTCTAGATAGTGATAAATAACCAATACTTTTGCAGTATTTATATGTTATTTACATACACTAAATATTTATACGTATATTTCCACCACGTATATAACAGTGAAAAGTGTCTGTTGTTTTTATTTCTCTTACTGAAATTTTTCAAATCCATATTCCGCGGATTTAACTGGGACGCTCCGTTTTCCGTTATAAAAAGTGCTGAACCAAAGATTAAAGCAAATATAATTTCACGTAATTTGCAAGAAACAAAAACACAAACACCGCCACAAAATCTAAAAATTTTTTTCCTGATTTTCTGTGGCACAAAGTGCAATTTTTTCTCGTTTGGCACATATTTTTCTAATTTCTTGCGAACTATAACTGGGTGGTACTCAGCTAATTTTAATTAAAGCTTCTTTTAATTTATATACATGTGACCTTCCACAGCATTTAAAATGCCACTTGGACACAGTCCACGAAACGTTTCTGAAAAGGACACAAAGTCAAAAGGTGCTTCACAAGAAGCCAGCGGCGGTAAGAGGGAACCCTCACCGCGCCCGAATTCTAAAACTTTTGACCCATCTGCTCAAAAGTTTATAGCGGAAAGTGACAGTATCATGAGATACTCTGCAGAATTCAGTGATATACCAATCCAAGACCACACTGAATCCTATCTCATGATAAAAGATAAATCACTAGATGATTGTTGGGCACGGCTTCAGTCCGCTTACGATTTGGTATTTTCAAAGCCAGATGACAGCCTATCCTAAAACTTTAAGAATTCAGTAGAAGGCACTGGCCTTGAATTATATGAGGTGACCAAGGCCAAAATTGCCGATCAACTGTCGTTGATTAGAGCAATCGCCGCACCGAGTCCACCACCCCGCGTAGAACACACCTCAGAGGCAGAGGCAAACGTATATATCAAGTCACATCTTGTAACACGGAGACATTTTACGGCGGTTGCGAAGAATGGTCCGCTTTTCATGACATCTTCACAGCTTTGTACATCAACCACCCGAAGCTCTCCCGTGCTCAAAAATTGTATCACCCCCGATAAAAAACTCAAGGAAAAGCTTGCTCCATCGTCAAGCAATATCCGCTAAGCGATGATAACTTCGAGCTGGCCTAGGCAACTTTACGGTCACGATACGAAAACAAACGTAACCTATTTGACAACCAGATTAAAATTGTAATGACTTTGCCCACTATTCAATCCGAGAATAGCGAGCAACTTCAAAGGCTGCAAACGACAATTAAAAACTGTCTGTCAGTTCTTAATTCCCAAGACGTCCAGACAGACAGTTGGGATCCCATATTGGTGTACATATGATCATCCAAATTGCGCGAAGCCACATTGTTACTTCGGGAACAATCCCTCTCCTCACGAAGAGATTTACCCTCATGGTCACAAATGGATGATTTTCTGACTTCAAGATACGAAGTAGTCGAAAGACTGAACATTCCAATTTCGAAATTTCCGGCATAGGTGGACACGTGCATTACACTAACATTGGTTGTACCCAAAACCATGCAACGGATAAATACACAGGCTATTGTGATACCTCAGCTCACGAGGCACATGCCCACATTTACCATTAGACGTGAAAACTGGAAGCGATTCAAGATGCTTGAACTTGATGATCCAAGTTGCCACATACCAGATCAAACTAATATGGTAATCGGCAGCGATATACTTCCACAAATCCTGCTGGAAGGTATAAAAAAGATTTGCGACACTATACTTGCGCGAAAAACAATAGTTGGCTGGATTCTCTGTGGTCCAATAACCGAAATTGTGGTGTCATTCTCGACACAAGTAGAAGAGTGCTCGAATTCAATTCTAAGCTCTCAGCTTCGAAAGTTTTGGGAAGACGAGGAGATTCCACAACCTTCACAAATTTCACCTGAACATCGGGCATGTGAGCATATATATGCTACAAAAACGACTCGTGCCCCAAATGGTGGATACATTGTGCGACTTCCATTCAAGGAAGAATTTCCAAAAAAGCTGTCTCTAGGCCACTCTCGGTCTGCTTCACTCCAGCAGTTTTTCAGTATGGAGCGATCGCTGCAGAAAAAAGGAGACTTAGGCACAATGTAAAATAATGTGTTGCAAGAATATCTCCACCTCGGTCATATGGAGCACACGAAGTCATGCGAGATAACATCTAATGGCAAATACTTCTCGTTCTACTTGCCACATCATGCGGTCGTCAAACCAGATAAGGTGACCACCAAAGTTCGCGTGGTATTCAACGCCTCACAAACATCTGGTTCAAGAAAATCCCAGAATGAAGTGTTGCGCACTGGTCCCACACTCCAACCAGATCTCATGTTTCTCATGCTGCAGTGGCGAACGCACAGATTCGTGTTCAACGGAGACATTGAAAAAATGTATCGTCAAATACTCATCCATGATTATAATCTTAAAACCGTAACTTTCGGTGTTAATTGTGCACCATACATCGCTATCCGTGGCTACCACCATACTTAAAACCGAAATGTATGTGGGTGACATCCTATCCTGAAGTCATGATATTGACAACGCCAATGAATCACTTGTTCAAGTGATCAAAGCGCAGTCAGCTGGTTTCATACTCAGGAAACTAAGGGCCAATCATCTGGCCATTTTAAAAAATTTCCAAAGGAGGATCTTCTCGATTCCAACTTTTTGAAATTTGAGAGCGCATCCACAACCAAACTCTTGGTATACAATAGAACGCACTCACAGATAAATTTTCCTACACCATTCTGCCTGCATCGACATCGACTGCCGTCACAAAGCGACAAATCTTATACTCTGTCGCAAAACTTTTTGACCCGGCAGGATGGCTGTCGCCAATGATGATTCAAGCAAAGATTCTGATTCAAGAACTTTGGCTGGTTGACATTGATTGGGACGAATGTGCCAAACCCATAGCCTTAGCAAAATGGGAACAGTTCGCAGAAAATCTGCCAGCCATCTGCCACATCGAAATCCCTCGATGGGTTAATTTCACTCCGGGGCAAGATACCCAAATCCACGGGTTTTGCGATGCCTCGCATATTGCCTGCGATTTATATCCGCGTAGATGCTAACAATCAAAGATATTCCACTCTCTTGGTTGCAAAAAGCAAAGTCGCACCATTGAAGACGGTAAGCTTGCCACGCCTATAGCTTTGTGGTGCAGTTTTACTCGCAAAACTGGTCGCAACTGTTTGAAAACAGCTAAGATTTGAATCGTGCAACACATTATTATGCTCACCTTGTAAATTGAAGACATATGTATCCAATCGTACCTCCCAAATCCGGGAATATATTCCAACCGGTACATGGCGCCATGTTGCCAGCCAAGACAATCCAGCCGACCTAGGCACCCGTGGGTGCAAACCGCAGGACTTGTCAAATTCCCCACTCTGGTGGCACGGACCAAAATGGCTCTCTTGCCATATGGATGCATGGCTAAGGTCAAAAGCATGCAGTGCATCTCCACCAGAAAAGCGCAAGGTGGAGGTATATCACGCGCTCGAAGAAGAGGTCGATTTTCTTGATCGCTTTTTTCTTTCTCTCGAGCACTCCGCGTGACTGCTTACATGTTCCGCTTCGTGAATAATCCACGCCATAAATTAAAGGGGTTAGCTATAATCACTAATCCACATCTGACACATAACGAATTTCAATATGCAAAAATACGTCTTATCAACGCAGCGCAATTACGACTTTTCCCAAGAGAAAAAAGCGATTTTCAATATAAAAAGCCAATTAACAAAAAAACCTCTTCTTGTTCTCAATCCTTCATTGGAAAAAGGCGGACTTCTACGGGTTAACGGCCGATTAGCACATTCCACGTTGAGCTATAATGAAAGGCACCCAATAATTTTCCCTACCGTATCGAGGTTATGCCAGCTGTACTTGGAGTTTGTACACTCGCTGCTTCTTCACGCAGAAGCACGGTTAATGCTCCAAATGGTAAGGTAAGAGTACTACGTACCAAACTTCTAATTAAAAAATGCATTTTTCAATGCAAAGTGTGCACGCCCTACAAGCAACAAACACGCACCCAAATAATGGCCGTTCAACCCCTTGAGCGCTTCAGTTTCTCACTCCCCTCTTTTACAACGGGAGTACATTTTGCAGGGCCATTCCAAATTAAAGCACCGGTGCTAAGATCTGCCATCTTTATCAAGGGATACGTTGCAGTTTTTGTCTGTTTTTCCACAAAGGCCGTGCATCTCGCATTCCCCCGCTTCGTTGGCAGACGAGGTTTCCCCTCAAAAATGATGAGCGACAATAGAAAAACGTTCATAGGCGCCCAGCGCGCTACAGAACGCGACTTCGTTAAATTCCTTAACGAATGTTCTGCGGACGTTGTCAAAAAATATGCTCCTCAAGGCATCAACTGGCAATATATACTACCCAGCGCCCCCACATGGGCGGCTTGTGGGAATCTGCAGTGAAAGATCTTCAGAAGAGATACAAGTGGAAAACCCCACAACGCGAGCCTCTGCCGGGCAACCTCGTCGTGATCAAAGAAGTTTCGCAGATCGAAGACATCATGGCATCACGGAAGGCAGGCCTGGCTCCAACGGCGGAGACGGGTAACTGCCTGCAATGCCGGCTCTGCCACCGGTACCACGCCTTGCGAACGTGCCCGGCCTTGAAGGCGATGAAGCCGCCACAATTGTTGGGAGAAGCCCGCGCACGGGGTTACTGCATCAACTGCCTTGGGCTCACCGTGGGGGTTTGACTGGCCAGGCAGCTGCAAGAACCGCGGGCTAGCGTAACACACGCTGCTGCATGTGGCAGCCAAGAACCATGAGCGCACGGGCCCAAGGGAACAGAGGTACAAGCATCGATCATCGGCCACAAAGGCCCCAAGGAGTGTCAAGCGGAGAGCACAGCCGAATAAATGTGGGCAGAAAAAGGCGCAGAAGAAGCCGCCCAACCAGGCGCTGCAACCGACGCGAAAGAAGACCACACGACGAACGATCGCGCGTACCCCCACGGCCTACAAACGGCCAATTACCAGGGCCGCTCCACCCATCGTGTCCTTGGCAACACGATCCGCGCCCTGAAAACCCTGCAGGAGACGCTCAGCGAGCTCAGCGACCGTGCGCGCATCCGTTGGGCGCAGCGGTGTCAAGTGAACTCCGAAAAAATGATTAACGAGCGCTCACGGCCGCTTCCCATCATTGCGCCAAATCAGCGACACAGCAGTTCAGCTATTAACGCCGGTCTACGCGCACGCGCCATTCTCAAATAGTTGAAATCCATACGAGGTTTAAATCCGTTTGTTAAACTCTGTATATAAATACATATACATATCCCTATGTATGTACCTATGAACTCGAAGTTGTGAGTATAAAACCTTTTGTGAATTTTTAAAACTGAAACAAAAGTGTTTCCTTTAAGTGGAAATAAAGTATGTAAAGAGTAGAGTGCGAAGACGACGAGCGAAAATATTCAGTAATGATGATGTCACTGATGAAGATTCCGGTGAGGAAGACAATCCTACGGTCAACAATTTACATGGCAGTCAATTTTGCGCGGAAACCGTTCTCTTCAACAAAAAGAATTATCAATGTGTTGTTGAAGATGTCGATGAAACCGATCTACCAGAATAAGTTGCCTCTACGGTGAATATTGAAGAAGGAGGGCGTAAAAGAACTAACCCCCCTCCCCTCATCCCAAAAAAAAGAAAGAAAGCTATTCGTTGTTATAAATGTGCCGTAGTGCCGACCTCAACTAGTACAGACTGACCATCAATAGTAACATGCATTCCGGAAAAAGGCAAAACTCCGTTGGAGTACTTTCGTTATTTTATAGACGTGGAAGTTGTTAAACTTTTTGTTGAAAACACCAATTTATATGCAGAAAAACATAATAGAGAGGGCAATTGTACAGAAAATGAAATTCTAACTTTCACTGCGATTTTATTGCTTAGTGGTTACATGAAAGTTCCACGTAAACTATGTATTGGCAATCAAATTTGGACAGCCATAGTACATTGGTTGCAGATGCCATGTCTCGAAACCGTTTCCTGTTTATCATGTCTAATTAACATGTATGTGACAACGACAAACTAGCCGAACTAATAGATTTGCTAAAATACGGCCATTGTTGGATACTCTGTAAGAAAGATTTATGGACTTTTCTCCTCACGAACAAAAGCATTCCGTAGACGAGTGGATGGTTCTTTATTTTGGACGCCACAGTGCCAAGCAATTTGTAAGAGGTGTGTGATATGAGTGGGATTTATAAGCATAAAGCATGCATGTAACAGGTATCCATTATTAAGCAAACCCACCCGATTTGGAATGAAATTTTGGTACGGGGTACGTCAAGGCGCAAATACCGGCACAAATAACTACCAAGACAGAGGACTTGGTTATGGTGTAGTTATGACATACGTGGATCAACCTCCTCTTCAAATTCCATTCCGGATATATTTCGACAACTTGTTCCCAAGTTTTGATCTGTTGAATCATCTGAAAGAGAGAAACATTGAAGCGACTATCAGAGCAAATCGAATTGACAAGAGTTGCACTTTAACTAATATTGATGCTATGAAAAAGACGGAAAGGGATCTTATGAGTATGTCACTGACCGCAATACAGGAATATGCTTGACGAAAATAGCATAGTGACGATCGCTACAAATTTTGATTATGTTAATCCTTTAAAAAATGTTCGGAGATTTTCGAGAGCCAAAAAGAAGAATATCTCAGTTACTCAGTGTCCAGGCGAACCCCGCCGCACCTAATTGCAAAACGTTAAACTTTCTTGAAATATCTATTTGAAATTGAAGTGTACATTGAATATTACAAATGAATCACCATTGTAGGGCAACGCCGGTGTCAGCAGAAATTCAGCACATCTGACAGTAGCTTATAGACTCAGGGCTGTTTGTATGGGTGTGGAAATACATAAAAAAGGACAAGTTGGTTTTTTTCGTCTATCAATCGAAAATTCTGTAAAAAGATTGTGAGCGCGACTACCGGCGGTGCCTAATTTATTTAGTAAAATTTATGTATATGCATAAATCGTGAACCTGAACATTTTCGAGTCTTTATTGTCAAAACCAAAAGGTTCCGTGAATCGCTCGAGTGACTGTAGTTGCTATAGTGCGACGCGTTATATTTTAACTCTTCAAGACGCCTCTACGTTCGTTAAGGGGCCATAAATGGCCTATTGACCAATCGTCAGCGGTTCTGCCCCCCGTCGAGTGTACGCCCACGATCGACTCACCAGCGCCAGCGAGACAACCGCCAACCAGCCAGCCGTTCCATCAGACATCTGCTGGTTCGTCTGCAACCACCTCCGCCGCCTGCCAGTCTAAGCAGTCAAACCGACACCTACATTCTATCGCCTGCATTCCACCGCCTGCCCGCATACCCAATAGCCATTGCCGGCTCCCAGGCCGTGTCGACCAATACGTCTAGAGCACACATCTGAGGATAGCCCCTGCCTAAGCTACAGCCAAGACGGCTGTAAATGGTCCTTCGCTCCGAGAAT